AACACGTTAAGATCAGAGAAGAGGTTTCAAATAATTTAAAAGAAAAACCCTAATCGAAAAAGATGAAGAGTCGTTTTGAAGGCAAAGTTAAATAAATTTCGAGAAGATGCTTAAAAACTCATGGCAAGCATGGATCTAAGGTAGATTTGAAAGAAGTCGAATAGGTCTTAGAGATTAGGGTTTCATGGATCTATGTAACCTAGGCTCTGATACCAACATGTCACGACCCAAAAACCGACCCGGTCGTGATGGCGCCTATCGTGAAATTAGGCCAGCCACTCATTTCCAATTACTTTATTTTCCAATTGAAAAGCTTAAGAAAACATCATGTTTTAACAGAAATTCAATGATATAAAAATAGATATTCCAAAACCAGCGAAAAGAAAATACAAGCCCGATCTCGGATGTCATTTGTCATGAGCAAAAACTACTACAACTGTTCGAAATAACAAGACTAGTACAGTCTGAAAATATCCAACATATAAACTAGAGGATGATAGGGAAGGAGAAGGCGGAACTGCGGTCGCCAAGTAGCTACCTCGCAATCTCCAAGTGAAAGTCCGCACAATATAATCAGCAGCCGCTACCATGACCCGAGACACCTGGATCTGAACACAAGGTGCAGGGGGTAACGTGAGTACACCAACTCAGTAAGTAACAAGTCCAACCTATGGACTGACAGGTAGTGACGGACCAAACCTTAATAAGTAATAACATATATCTGAACAGGAAAAGTAGACATGCTTACAGTTCAAGTAAAGTTCAATAGTATTTAAATGCAACTGAACAGTATGAAGTTCAAAACTCAGAGATTTTACATATACCAATGCACAACTAGCATGATCAATGTTCCATGAACCTCCACTCATAAGTACTCAACCCCTCGGTACTGTATATGGCCATCTGGCCCAGGGAAGATCCATCTCGGAATATACATCACTGACTGCAGTCATCCATTACCGAGGACACAGGCCAATCCAGCCTCACGGAGAAGATCCATCTCCCGGTATAATACTTCAGACAAGATCCATGTCCAAGGAAGATCCATCCATCAATATCATCATCTACGCTCACTGGGGGTGTAAAGACTCTGGAGGGGCTTCTCTCATTAGCCCAAGCGCTATAACAAAGCCAACGAAGGCTTGTTCAGTATCTCGCCGCAGTGTGCAGCCCAATCTCATACTGTCACTCAATAGCAGGCTCTCGGCCTCACTCAGTCATAACTCACCAGTCTCACATACGGGCTCTAAATGTCATGATACTAGCCCGGTCAATAATAAAATATGGCAAATAGTTATAATCGAGACAAGGATAGGATATAATATGGATAAAAAGGACTGAGTACAGAATATCAATAAAATAAATGATATGACAGCAAGAAACGACCTCTTGGTCTCAATAATATCGACGTGAAGCCTTAACATGATAATCGGCATGATTTACAACTCAACAACTAAATTACATAATTACAGCACAGATATCGGTAAGAAAGAACCACTAAGCGGTGTTCTGGAATGATCCAGGCTGCATTTCCCACGGTGCACGCCCATACGCCCATCACTTGGCATGGCGTCACCTTCATAATAATCATGAAACACATAGGTTCGGGGTTTCGAACCCGCAGAACCAAGATTGGAAGCGTTACTTACCTCAAACCAAGCCAAACTCTAGCCCGCGACGCCCTTTCCTCTCGATTCAGCCTCCAAATGCCTCGAATCTAACCAAAATCAGTTCATAACCATCAATATATGCTAAAGGAGTGAAATCCATACGAAATTAATCAAATTACAACACAATTCCCGAAATTGACCAAACCCGACCCCCGAGCCCACGTCTTGGAATCCGACAAAATTTACATCAATGGAATCCTTATCCCCCCACGAGCAAAAGTACCAAAACCCGACCACAAATGGCCCCTCAAATCCCTAATTTTAGGTCTCCAATTTTCCAAGCCCTAACCCCCCAATTTGCTACTGATTTAACATAGATTTCAAGCTTACAACCTTAAAAATCATCATAAAAACGAGTTTAGGGACCAAGGACCTTACCTCTAAGGAACCCTCTTGAATTTTCCCTTGAATTTGCTCTCCAAAGCTTCTTCCCGTTTGAAATGTTATGAAAAATAACCCAAATTCGCGAAGGGTGAAATATACATGTTCTAACCCAGCAAAATCGCATCTGCGGTCCATTTATCGCACCTGCGGTTCCAGGTGCGCATCTGCGGATTCCACTTATCCGCCCCAGCCACCGCACCTGCGATCAAATTCTCGCACCTGCGCCATCGCAGGTGCGCCCAAAGTTCTGCTTCTGCGGCTCCAGCCTTTCCCTCTCTTGACAGCATCTGTGACTTCACTTCCGCTTCTGCGGGCCCGCACCTGCGGTCCCCAATCTGCAGGTGCGGTTATGACAGGTTCAGCAGCTTCAGCTGCAACTTTCAAGTTCCAAACTTTCCGATAACCATCCGAAATCACCCCGAGGCCCACGGGACCTCAACCAAAAATATGGACCAGTCATATACCACTATCCAAACTTATACCAATCTTCGAAACACCTAAAACAACATCGGAACATCAAATTAACCATGGATTCAAGCCTAAGAGCTCTAAAAACTTCCGAATTCCGCCTTTGATCAAAAAGTCTATCTAACCTCGTCCAAATGACCTGAAATTTTGCACGCGCGTCAGAAATGACACAACGGACCTACTCCAACTTCCAAAATTCCATTCCGACCCCAATATCAAAATCTCCCCTATCAACCGGAAAACGCCAATATTCCCATTTCGCCAATTCAAGCCTAAATCTACTCCGGACTTCCAAAACACATTCTGATCACGCTCCTAAGTCCCAAACCACCTCCCGAAGCTATCCAAATCATAAAACCCAAATTGCGGGATCGTTTGCTCACAAGTCAACTTCCGGTTGACTTTTCCAACTAAAGACCAACTTAAGAGACTAAGTGTCTCAAACCTTTCCCAAAACCATTCCGGCTTCGAACCAACTAACCCCACACCACATAATGCAGATGATCAAAGCATAAAGAAACAGAAATGGGAGAAACGGAGCGGTAATTCATGAAACAACCGGCCGGATCGTTATAGCTTGCTAGTTCTTTAGCAAAGGCTGCTGCAATCCCCACACTCTGGTTTTCTTTTAATTGTTCCTCCTCCTTTGCTTCTAATTTCTTGTGAAGTTCTGGATCAATGATATAGCACTCCATCTCATTGTGCCCTTGTTCTTAACTAGTGTTATTGTATTTTGGCATATAATCGTATTTGACTCGTATCCACTTCGATTCCTCAGTCCATTTTTCATCAACTTCCTCCACAATTTTTCCTTTTAGGGAACTGGGCAAGAAGATGAACCTCTGCAATTTGTAAATCGTGGCGGTCAATTAACACCCGCAATTTGTTTCCACAAATGGTTTCTAGAACCCCGGTTACGTTTGTCACAATTAATTTGCGGGAGTTTTCAGAAGAACTGCGTAATTATTTCACAACGGGTTTAACCTCGCAATTTCTTTTCTTGACAATTTTATTTACTGTTTTTCGGGGTTCTTTACATTTCATTTTGACGGGTTATAACCTCCGTAATTTTTAATTCTTTTTTTGGGAATTACAACGTCTACATATATTTAATTTTTTATACAATATTTATTATTAAGTTACAACTAATGCATATATTAAGGGTGTTTACCTGACGGGCTGGATCGGGCTGGACATGGGGAAAAATAGCCCGTTCGGTTAGTGGGGCGGGCTGGTTAGTTTGTTGGAATTTCGGGCTGGTAGTGGGCTGGGATATTCCGGGTTTTGGTGGGCCCGTCTGGGTTCGGGCTTATCGGATCTAGACCGGGCCAGGTGAATTTTTTTTTTAAGTATTATGTTTCCTTGTTCAATGTAATTGTTATTTAAGTGTTTGCAAACTAATAAAATAAGTATTAAGGCATAAAATTAAACTTTTAAACTTTAAATTTTAAATTTTTAAATTTAAAATTTTAAAATTGAAATTAGGTGGCTACATAAAATTATTTAATATGACCAATATGTAAGGATCAAACTTCAAAGGCTTTCATTTCATATTTTCATTGTATAATAATAATGCTTCAAATTAACTTATCTTATAAACTAACACATTAAGCTTAAATAAGTCTAACAAATTCAAAATAAACAAAATTGTCTCAAATCAACTTAAATACGATTCCTAGAGGACGCACAAGACAAACCTTGATATGCCTCCTTAAACGAGTTGTGCCCTCCCACTTTCGATGAACATTAAAGAGTCAACCACAGTTCTTGCACTCTACCTTGCGAACTTCTTCATTTTCTTCTACCACCTCCAAGTGTTCCCAAATATGTGAATGCACTCTAGAAGCACAGGGCATGATTTAACTTGAACCTAACAAAAATGGTAACCACACTTGACTTAATAATTGTAATTTTGTAGTGGCTACCGTAAATAATTGATAAAACCTGAAATATTAATTAATTGAGAACTTGAGAGCAATAAGCAATTCAGTAATCAAAAGGGAATTGAGAGAGAATTAGAGTAGAAGAAAGAGCAAGTTGTGGAAAAAAATGAAGAAGAGGGGGGCTTTTCATAATGTAATTTATCAATTATTAGGGGGTGGAGGGGCTATTTTAGTAACGAGATGGGCCAAAATGGCTAAAAGTGCAAAAAATGGCCGTTGCCCAACGGTCAGTTTTGATTTTGACCATTGGCAACGGTAGAATTTATAAAGAAAAAAAATTACAACATCAACCGGGCTGGAAGGGTTAGCTGGCTAGCCGGGTTCCGGTGCACCGGTAGCCAAAAAAGGCCCGACCTCGTCCGGCACAACCCCCCTACCCTAGCCAACCCATCCCATCCCTTACCGAACCGGGCTGAACCGGGTTGTTAGTGGGCCGACCCAATTAACACCTTTAGCATATATAACACAACTTCACAATTAGACCTATACAATCATTATTATCATAATCAAGCCAAAGTATTTTTGTAATAGAAACATCAGTATTCAATTGATCATAAAAATGTAAGCAATATCGCAAGTCATCAGATTCTAGGTACATCTTTATGCCCAAAGAAACTAAAAAATGAGGGGGGGGGGGGGGGGGGGGAAATTAATACGTCATCTTCATATACACAATCTTTATTTCAAACTGCAGTTGTTCTCCAAATTGACCCTTCTTCAGGCACTTTATGAGCAGACGTTGCAACAAGGAAAAAGCTTGGCATCTACAGATCTACTCACTTCTTCAGAATAACATCTTTCATAGCCAGCAATGTAGGAGAAGTCTGCAATAAGTTGTTAATGTCATTATGTATTCTAAAAAGCGAAAACCACAATTAAAACAGCAAAAAGAGGCACATAACAATCAGCCGACTGTTCACTTCCACTAAATCATGCTAAATTAGCTATAACTGACCTAGTGCAAATTTTAAGGGGCACCTGGGGAAGTAAGAAAACCAGCTCTTCAGCATCATACTAACATTTACAAAATTTAAGATAGAAGAATATACAAGATTATAAGTTGTTAAGGTATTCAGATCATACAAACACCATATGTATAATAGGAACAGTTGTGCAATTGTGGAAATATTACCTGCATACGATATTCATCATTCATCTGAAATGAATTAAGTGAGTATAAAAAGTTGTGCGATCGTGGTAATATGACAAGAGATTGGTAACTTGTGTAGCTCACATAAACTCAAAATCATTTTCCAGACCATGATGACCCGTCAATAAGTTCTATAATGAAATGCAATGCAACATTGTGTAGCTCAACCACTATGTGAGCCGAAACTAAGAGAAACAAAACTAAACTAATAGCCATAAGAAAAAATCTGGACGTAACAAATAAGTTATTATAGATACAGCAACTAGGAAAGGCAAATATATATATATATATATATATATATATATATATAACTGTGGTGTCCGAAGCAGCTTGTGTGCAGCTCGACTAATTCCACGAGGTACCTGCTACCTCCCACCAGCAACACGTACCAAGTAACTATGTCCAAAAAGGCAATACCATATTGAGATGAGTATAAGCTATATTCAGTATATAGAAGGTAGTCAGGTTAGGCAATCAGGCTACGCGTGGTGTACTCAATTTTAAAATAACAACATAATGAATCCCAAGATACTTATCAAAGGAACATCCCCGACAACTTTTTCAGATAGGTAAACACAAGGCTTAAAAAAGTTGTCAAACATCATCATCCCCTCATACAATCCTGAACAAATGTAATTCAATCCAAGAGTATATAAGTTGCTTCACCTAGAATAAGTGAGTCAGTTCAATTCAGAAAGGGACATGATGTCAAAATATCAGTGCTTATTCATCGATACACTTCAAACTATCATTTCTAATAGAGCAAAAGCTCCCTGAATAAATATGCATCAAGAATTAATATCAAGCACAGCAACACTTTTAAAAGCAAAGGCATAAATAATAGTAACTTGTAAGAGCCTGTGCTACAACAACATAGAACTGATATTCAAGGTGAATATTAAGGAAATGCAGTTTCTAGTGTTACTCAGAAACTCAGATTTCTTGAAGTTTCCACTTATCCTCTCTGGCTAGACAAAACATCTTGCTCTACGCATTAAATTTTTCTTTTTTCTTCTGCTTGCTTTGTAATTCTTCTTTACGCGCCCCATGCGAGGCTATAGTGAAGCATATCTGATTAAATAGCTCAAACTTCTAAAAACACTAATACTTTCTTCATTGGCCTGAACCTGATTTTATACAATTCTCCAAAATCATCCTTCACATCAAAAGAAAGTTGCCATAAAAATTTAACAATTAATTTCCAGCTTGTTCATTGAGAATGATTTTTTGTGTGAAATTGATGAATACTTCACGAGTATAATGGAACTAAAGCAAATACATAAGTTGGAGAAAATATTGCTAAACAGAGAAACAGAATGTTCATTATATCTACGTATAAGCTTGGAGAAGCCTTCAAATCAATGAAATTGAGCTCAATCTGAAACAAAAAAAAAAAAAGGAAAATCAGGAAAGAAGATAAAAATTTAACAAATAAGTTTTTCTCTGAAATCGTGTACCTATCAGAAGGATTTTGAGAGAAGAGATAGAGGATGAGTGACATGCATATACTCACTTCATCTTCTTCTTCATAGTTGTTAGAGAGAGAAAGAGAGGCTTGGTCCTTCATCATTATCTTCTAAGACTCAGCCGCTGTGAGGACCGCTGCATCATCCCTGCTGCAGCTATGATGACTCCATGTGTGTGGAGAGAGACGGTGATTGAGAAAGAGCAAGCGGAGGAGAGTATTTGGTGACTGCTATGCTGAAAGGCAGAGCTTGAATCGCAAAGAGCGCGATTAGGGTTAGGATTCTGTCGCTGCAGCTTAGCATAGTCGAAGGTATTTTGGGGAAAGAATCAGAGAGGGGGAAAAGGCCCCGTGGGAAGGATTTCGTAAAACAAAATATCTTTACTGCGGGGGTCCGTAACCCCTGCAAATTGCATCAAATTTGCGGAGCTTAGGCCAACCGCCCCAATTCGTGCAATTTGCAGATGTTCTATTTGATCTCCGAAATTTAACAGATCTTTTGTAGTATATGCACGCATCAGATTTCATCGGTCATAATCTGTTCTATCACCTCAACCTGGGAGAAAAGCTTTTTTTGTTGTCAAAAATTCATCTATGCTTTATTAAGCTCTTCTCTTAGGCAAGAGCTCAATCATTCCATCTTGAACTATTGCAAAGCTCTCATTCCCTGAGAGTGAGTTGGCTCGAATGAAAGAAGACTTCGTCCTATTTCATTGGGGCCTGGATCGAACGATACAATGAACAAGATCCCACAATTAAGTTCAAATACACTGACGAAATTAATTACTATATACAAATCATATACACAGCTGCACATGAGAAGAGAAACCTTGCCTTGATCCAGCTGCTCAATCAGTATGCTTCCTGAATCCATTCGAACCAAAGTCAAAGCTTCTATGACAAAGTTGAGACGGCCCAAGCCATATTCTCTCACAAGACAAACAGACCTAGAATCTGGTTTAGAGCAGCTTAAGATGAAGTCTCTATGTATCAGGTTCATAACACAAAATATTTGATATCAAGATAAATTAAACACCCTTCTCAAAACAAAGGATCTATCAACACAATCAATATTTAAGAAACTAGTATAAGAATGCTACATAGTTCAAAGAATCAAGATTTATAAAGAAGTAACAATGATTGCAATGGAGCTACAAACATCTCGAAAAGAATTAGTTAATCAAGTTCTTCGAAAAATTCATATATTACAAAACAGAAGAGACATACTACAAGGGTTACAGAGCATTCAGCATAAGAATCTATAACCCCCACCCCACCACCCCCCACCACCCAACAAGACCACCAATTTCTGTCCTCTTCAACCCAGTTTCCACTTTCACCAACTACGCTAGCTAAAAGCATGAACAAATAGAAGATATATCCATCAATAAAATACAGTGGAAAGATCAAACTACAAAAAAAAAAAAAAACTATAGTTTGCAAATTCAATAAGGAGCGTAGTACCCTGCACCGTTTACTGGCGGCATTGCATAGGACATCACAGGGGGTTGCCCTGGACCATAGTATCCTCCAGTAGAGATCTTGGCCAAACTCATTTGACCTTGCATGCCATCCCTGGCATACTGCTGCCATACCATCTGTTCCTGTGCTAGCAATTGCTCTTTCTTCTGCAAATCTGCCATTTGCACATAAGAAGGTGGTGGAACAACAAAGATGCAGCAAAGGGGTCTTGTCCAACTGTCTGGACTGTTCCATCAGGTGCAGGGAGTGCCAGAACAGGTGTAGCACTTTTCCCTAGTCCCGGCAACGCCACACTGCTGGCACTGCCACCACTCGACTGCGCAGTGGCTACATGTTGCCTAACCACACCCTGATCATACATGCCATTCAACAATAGTGGATCAAGTCCACCACCCAATGCCGCTTTCTGCTTAGACAAATTACTTGCTGTCTCCACCAAAGCAAGCTCCCAGTCAGCCTTACCACTCTCAGCCGCTGGATTTTGCCAAGCAGACGTAACCTCAGTTTCCCCATTGGATGGGAATGCTTCCCACGACCCATTTGCATTGCTTGTTCCTGACCCCGCAAACAATGCCAAGGCTAATTTATTCCCTTGATCATCGGCAGTAACACCCTCCTCCCTCAAATCCACCAAATCGCCAGTTTCCTGTACAATAGGCTTGGGAAGCTCTGGTTCAGGAGGCGGTGGAGGAGTACAATCCTCTGGTGGTGGCAATGCTTTGATTTCATTCATATCTGGTGCTGGCTCCTGTTCCTGTGGAGTCGACTGGCTCTCTACTTTCCTCTCAGGACTCTTCGTTGCTTTAGCCCTATCCCTCACAAACTCTTGCAATGTATCTAATAGCTTGCTTGTAATCCTCGCAACTTCTGGGTACTCTGACGACCTTGCCACACCAATATCCTTGCACCAGTCATAGAATCCCACCAACTCATCAATCCGCTTTGCTGCACTAGCATAGGCATCAAAGGCCTTGACACAATCCTCAAACTCCATATCAAAAAATTTATCCAACAGAAGAGCCAAAACATCACATATATCTGTATGAATCTTAAAACTTTCTTTCACCATAGGGTACAAAGCAACTAAAACCATCCTTTCATTCTTAGCCAAACCAGTAGGTCTACAAGATAAAAACCGATCTAGCAGTCTCTGCAAATGAGTCATCTTTCCAAAAATCCTCTCAGGCTTCATCTCTCTCAATGGAGTCACTTCTTTATTCTCCTGTATGGACTCTCGCACATCCCCTGAGGATCTCGACCTCCTCATTCCATAACCAGGCTCATCTCTGAACTCCCCAAAATCATACTCATGCCCTCGGTTAGAACTCGGGGGCGATCTAAAATGTTCTTCTCTAGATCCATACCTCTCAATCTCTCCACCAGTACTACCATTTTGCTTCCTCTCAAAAACCATCAATTCTAACCTTTGATCCAAATACAAAGCATAAGTCCTCACAAAAGCCGCATGATCCCACGAATTCGAGTGAGCCTCGTCTTTGAAATCCGACAAGTTGAGCAGCCTTGTTCCCCTCCTCGTACCATACATAATTTCTTGCTGAAATACAGCATCTCCATCATTGAGAAGTCGGTGAATTAGCATCAAACACTTGAGGGCAACAATCCAATCCCGGGTTCTTCCCAATCTTTTGGAAATTGCCGACATACAGGCACTCACATAGCCACGAGAATAAGAAGTCAATTGGAGAATCTCCCTTATGTACTTCTCTCCAGCAGGTTCATCATCATGGCTTGTAGCCTTAACAATAGCAATTTCCAGCTCCGGTGCCATGTTGCTCGCCACTTTGGCTATTCCTATGCTTGTCTGGTCCTTCACCGCCCCTATCGCCTTTCGGATCGTGGTCGGTGCCATGGCAAGCAAAAAGTAGTCTCCTCTTTTCAGCAAATCACCAATTGGAATGTCACAACTTCAAGATTTGAGCTTTTAAATCCATATTAGTAGATCCAAGAACAAGCTAGTAGTGATCGACTATATGGATAACAAATTAAATATTTTGACTCGATTGCCTGAAGCTTCTATATTAGGAAATGATTTCAATTATTTGGAACAATATCCAGAAAAAGAAAATCATGAAGTAAAAAAATCGCCTAACAGATTCGGAAAGAAAGAAGACAATCACATGGGTATTTGAGTTCACACATACCTGAGCACTGTACCGTACAGATGTGTAAGGGAATAAAATGTCGGCTATTTAAATAAAGAGAGATCTGAACTGAGCTGAAGGTTCTGTTAAAGAAAGTACAAAATGAATTAATATCTTGTACTCTCTCTATATATATATATTTGCTGCGAGGATCGAGGGAAAGGCGAAAATGGAAGAAGAATGAAGAATGGAGATCTAAAACAGGACAGGGAGGGATCTGAACCGTTGGATCTGAATCAGGGATAGCAAAAATGTTGGAGGAAGCATCCTACGGCACAGGAATTCAAACAGAGTCACTCACGGTGTGCGGGTAAGTGCGTGTTTTAGGTGGATATTGCCTATGAGTTGGTGTATGGCTGGAACTTTCTTTCTAGAACTATAACTAGAATGTCTGATTTGGAGCTAAATTTATCTCTAAAATATTCAGAAACAGGGAAGAGAGCAATGTAATGGTCAAAACACCATATTCAAACTGTAGTTTCAGGGAATAAAATTTAAATGACTTCTAGACTATTGGTATTTCCATTGAATACAGGGACGGAGGTAGAAGTAGACGCGGAGCTAGAATATAAAGTTTTATGGGTTATAAAATAGAGAAACTTTCAAAAACCACTACTGTTTTAGTGATTATTAGTTAGTTGTAGCTATCATTTACTATATTACTTCCTATAGCTATATTTTTAGCTTTTTTAGATGTATTCGATGTATTTAAGCTACTGTATTCATGAATACAGTAGCATTTCTAGGCTTGAAACAGGGGATTACAGCTAGACAGATTTTTGTATTCGAGTGTATTCGACTGTATTCATGGCGTGAAACATGAAATTACAGCTGGACAGATTATTGTATTCGACTGTATTCACGGCGTGAAACAGGGGATTACACTGTTTTTAAACGGAAAGTGAATCATTTAACATAATAGACTCCTAATATAACTCAACAAACTCAATTATAACACACAAAATTTGTATTTCCATTTATAAAAAAGATTCTCAACCGAAAAATACCCCAAAAACATAGCAATCTTCAGAGAAATTATATAATACATCTGAATACATAAATTATTTTAATTAAAAAATAACATATGAATACATTCATGGAATATAGCGAGACAGTGAATACAATAAAATACATAGAATACAACGGGATACATTGAAATACAATGACAAAAAAGGCAATGAATACAATGAAATACATAGAATACAGCGAGATACACTGGAATACAATGAAAAAAAAGACAATGAATACAATGAAATACATAGAATAAAGCGAGATACATTGAAATACAATGAAAAAAAGGCAACAGACTCTTCAAGTTGCTCAGCCCCAAACTCCGTCGTCTTTGTTCAAGAATAACCCTATTGTCGTCTCATCTAGAGCGTCCAAAGAGCACAATCACAGAATCACACAATAACACAGGATCTATATTGCCGGCGATGAGCTTGATGAGGGAGAGCAGATAGATGGGGATATCGGGGCTTCCATGTAGAGCTATTTGCAGATAAGTTTGAAAACAACTCAGAGTTGGTCTCAGAACCAACATTATTTGATAAAACATGTCTTCAGAAACTTCTGGAAAACTTTCCTTTCGAAACTATTATAAAACTTAATTCCATTCAAATGGATTTTTGGAGAAATTCTTGAAATTGTGCTTAGGTTAGCTTTCTGGGAAGAAGGAGGCGGTGAAGTGCAAAATATTAGGTAGTTTCGAAAGAGGTGGTGAAGATATGTAACTGAAAGAGGAAAGAGAAAGGAGGAGAGATGGAAAAGAGAGGGAGAAAAAAAAATAATACACAGCGTATTTAGTGGCTTAAAGGTAGGAAGTGGTCATAAATAGATATTTTGCTATAAAAATTAAAAGGTAGCTATAGGAGATAATTTTTTAAAAGGGTATTTATTTAAAATAAATAAGGTGTTAACCTTTGCTATAGGAGGTAAAACTTCCTATAAAATATAATACGGAAAAGGGCCAAAACTATCCCTATCGTTTGCTGAATGGTTTATAAATACCCTCCGTCCATCTATTCGTCCAAAAAAACACACGACGTTAATTCTATTAACAAAAATACTCCTGCGACTAACGACAGAATTGGTGGGTCTTTTATTTAATGACATGGCGATTTTTAACTTGGCCACGTGGCAATCTTTAACCAAGAATCAAATATGGGTCTTATTTTTACCCATTTACCTGGTCCGACCCACTTACCCATTTTTTCGTGTCATCGGTGTCCTAAAGAGGAAATCGTATCTATTGCTTTTCACTATTTGTTCCTAAAAGCTCAGTTCCTTGTTCTCCATTCGATTTTGGTTCTAAATTTTGTGATTTATTCATTATCTAAGTTTGAACTACTGATTTAGAGCTTCAATTCGAAGAAGTAAGATTGAATTTGAGGCCACAATTGAAACCCGTCTATGTCAAGTTCAACAAAGAAGCTAAGTTTCGTTTGAAATCTGAAAATTAGGGCTTCGAATTCGATTGGATGTGCATGATTCTAGTTGGAAACATCATTTTTGAAGTCGAATCCGAAGGATTAGGATCAATTTGAGTGATTTTCTAGGGTTTTGAGTTGAAATTTTTCGAACGGGTTCTCGACGAAGAAGACGAATTGGGTTCCTTCGATTCTGTGGGCGATGTTCAAATTGGTTTCTGGGGTTTGTTGGGATTGTTGAGACGAGCTTGTGGTTAAATTTTGAGTATGGAATGAAGCTGGGTTTGAGCTTCTGGTCTAACCAAGAATCAAGAAGCCATTTTTGTCAATACTGTCATTTTTTATGCTTATGCTATCTCTGTCTATGTGATTTTGTTGCAAAAGTGAGAGAAAACATGGATACTGGCTGAAGATAGAGGTCTAACATTCCGATATCTTCTTTGATTTTTTTTTAGACATATATTTCTTTGTTCATCCAAGAGACAAAAGGATAAAGTTTCACAATTTCTGGGAGATTGTTACTGGCAAATTTTGTTAGGTGTTTGTCCAGAATTTCTTACCATAATTGGTTTTCCTATTTCATAAAGGAAGGGACAACATATTTACCATAATTGGGTTTTTCTTTTCCTAGAGGGAAATATAATTCTTTCATATTTGGCTAGTCCCTTTTCTTGTAGTAAAGGTTTGGAGTTCTATAAATTGAAGATCCGCCCTTCTCATTCAGTAATATCCACAATGTAGCCATATGGGGTTTGAGAGTCGTGTTTAGGGGAAGAACTTTATGGGACAAGTGTTAGTGTGTCACTTGTGTTTGCCTCTTCGTGAGGTTGTTCTCTCGATATTTTGTACTTTCTTTTTATATAGTGGATTGCTCATCTCCGCCGTGGATGTAAGTCAGTTGACCGAACCACGTTATATGTTTGTGTCTCTTTTGGTAGATTTCTCTTTGTTGTCAGACTTATCGTCTTTCAAGGTTTGCTTTGCTGGCTTCTGCATGACACTTGATTTTTTCGGACATAACAAGTGGTATCAGAGCGGGGTTCAAGACAGGTTCATCTTGGCGGGTTCAGGTCTAGGCGCAACATATTTGACGATAATCGTGATTTTTGTCTGAGAAATTTGACCGGTGTGCTACGCCCGTTGAGACAAACTTTGTGGTGGAGATTTGGAGATACGACCTGTTGAAGGCTATATGAAAAAAGTGGATCAAGTTTACTTTGTCAGAAAATTCAGGCCAAGGGGGAGAATTGTTAGGTGTTTGTCCAGAGTTTCTTACCATAATTGGTTTTCCTATTTCATGAAGGAAAGGACAACATATTTACCATAATTGGGTTTTTCTTTTCCTAGAGGGAAATATAATTCTTTCATATTTGGCTAGTCTATTTTCTTGTAGTAAAGGTTTGGAGTTCTATAAATTGAAGATCCGCCCTTCTCATTCAGTAACATCCACAATGTGGCTATATGGGGTTTGAGAGTCGTGTTTAGGGGGAGAACTTTATGGGACAAGTCTTTGTATGTCACTTGTGTTTGCCTCTTCGTGAGGTTGTTCTCTCGATATTTTGTACTCTCTTTTTATATAGTGGATTGCTCATCTCCGCCGTGGATGTAGGTCAGTTGATCAAACCACGTTATATATTTGTGTCTTGATGATAGTCTATAATTATGTATTTTAGTCGCTTATTACACTCAAATTTACTGCACTTTAATTGAGTTTGAGCTTTAATCGCTAGTGTCTTGCACTAATTGTGTGTTTTATGCCCTGTAGGAGTGATTCCGAGCTATGTAGATGTTATGAAATGAATTCAAGTGATTTGGAGCTTTGAAGTCTGATTAAAAGCTCAAGGAATTAAGTCGGGATCGTGTTCCGGGGTCAACGGATGATAGTTAGAACAAACGAAGAATCGAGTAGGCATATTGCGCACTGTCTAGTAAAATGCACATAACGTTTTGCTCAGAACTCCATTTGGGCTCCACAATATATGGTTGTAAAGCTAACTCAAAGAGCTACAACTTTCATGTTTTATATTTTTCCGAGTTCCAAACAGAATGGGGTGAAAAGAGCACGTCAAATGCGCGGCCACGCTCAAGCCGCGCTCGTCAGGTAGAATCAAAGTAGATATGCACGGTCCAAGTGCGGCCACGCACATCCTGTCCGGAAAATGTGTCCTTTTTCGCGTAGGAGAAGGTGTAATTATTTGGGCCCAACCCTACTTGGTATATATACATGGAAAAACGGTATTTAGAAGACTTTTTGACATACTTTTGACATAATTTAGACCTAAGGAGGCTAAGGAGACCGGAGATTCGACCTAAGGAGGCTAAGGAGACCGGAGATTCGACATAAGGAGGCAAGAACACATTGGGAGCAAGGTGGAGAATTCTTCCACGAGTTTTTTCACTTCCTTCTTCCTATTTCCATTATTGGTTATGCATTCTAGTATTGTATTTTTGCATACTTTTATGAATAGCTAATTTGTTATCTAGGGTTTTGATGGAACCTTTTGTAGGATAAATACTTGTTATGTTTTTATATAATTGAGCCGTTGCATTTCTCTACTTGTTCAACTACGTGTTTGTTGTTGTCTATTGAATGGCCATCAATTGACTGTGCCTATTTAGTGTGTACTGCTCGAGAGAGAGTACATATTTAGGTAGTTGTTGAACAACGTCACTCCTAACGTATGTCAGAAATCAATACATTGGGTTTAAAGGTAGGTTTAGAAATAACAAAGCCTTGACGTGGTCATAGTGAACGGTTAGATGAATCCAACTAGCGTAGTTCGAGAGAATATGTCTAGTAAATTATTGTAGTTGCTCGAGAGAGAATTACGACACCTAAAGTGCTCACGATCAGTAGAAAATACATCGGCGAAATTGTAGGGAACATAGCTGTAAGGGTTCCGACAATTGGGGAAATCATAACTCTAGACCTCCTTAATTTAGTCTCCAACCCTTTGTCTCGTTAGTTGATAATTTTACCGCTTTGTAGTATTTGCTAGTTAATTAGTTAGAAATATAAATCACAATCTTTATAATTTAAAAATTTGTTCAAACTTTTCTTCTTAGTGATATTAAACAGATATAGCTAAGCCTTAGTTCTCTGTGGGATTCGACTCCG